AGGAGCAGGGGGCGGAGCGTTCAGGGGAGGGGGCAGAGTTGGGGCGGGGCTGGGGGCGGGGAAGGGGTGGAGTTGGGCAGGGCCGGGGCCCCATGGAGTGTCCTCCTTTTTAAAAATTAAAATATGGTAACCCTAGCCAATGGGAATTGTGGGGGGTGGTGCCTGTGGGCAAACACAGGGCAGCACGGAGCCACCTGAACTCCCCGCACCAAAGGGGAGCTGCCCCAGGTAAGTGCCCTGAGCCCCCTCCCACACTCTAACTCCTGGCCAGACCCCCCATCCCCAGTCTGTTCCCACACATGAACTCCCACCCAGACCCTGCACCCCAACCCTGAGCCCCCTCCCGCACCCTAACTCCCACCCAGACCCTGCACCACCAGTCCCAGCTCACTCCCACACCCTAACTCCCTCCCAAACCCTCCACCTCGAGCCCTGAGCCCCAGGAGAATGCAGAAAAAAATGAAGGGGGGGGGCAAAAATGAAGCTGAGCACAGGGCCCCACTAACTCTAAATCCGCTTCTGCTGGGCAAAGTCCTTTGAGGCTGGGGACTCCACTCCCCAGCAGTGCTTCCGCCAGTGCCAGTGCCCCCCTGCCTTCCTGGGGTGACTCTTGCAAGGAGGCTGCTGCCCCCTGAGAAGCCCAGGAGGGGCAGAGACTCCCCAATGGTGGCAGTGAGGAGAGAGGTGAGGAGTCAGGGACTGGAGAGGTATCACCCTAGCTACCAGAACATCATCCCTGGGTAGGGGGGATGTAGAGAGCATCGCCACCAGAGATTGTGGGGGCAGGGAGTGGGGGATGCATTACTCCAGATGTGTCATCCTTAGGTTATGGGGAAACATGGGAGGCATCCTTCCAGATGGGTGGGCAGGGACTGGTGAGGGGGATGGCACCCTCGGATAAGAGGGGCCATGGCGGGCTGTCACCCCCCCCAGGTGGGGGGGGGGCAGGGACTTGTGGGGGCATCACTATCAGATAACAGGGGACATGGGGGGGTGTCACTCCACCCAAATGGGGGGGACAAAGACTGGTGGGGGGCATCACCCCCAGATGGGGGGCCAGGGAGAGAGATTCTCCCCCAGCAACAGGAAGCGGGGGGGAGGAGTGTGGGGTCAGGGAGGGGATCCCCCTGCTCTTCACCACCTCCCAGTTGCCTGGCAGGGGGAATCCCCCTGTGGGGTGGGCAGGTGGAGGAATCCTAGTTGTGGGGAACTCACATTGGGGTCCTGCCCCTTTCCTGGTGGCAAAAGTGGAGTTAGCCAGGTTTGTCCCTGCAGGGTGCAGGAGGGTCCGCAGGGAGGGGTGCATCTATTGGGCCCTCCCTGGAGTGGGGGGAGGTATCTTGGGGGGAATCCCCATGGACAGTATGGGGGGGGGCTCTATCAGTCCCTCCCTTGGTTAGGAGGTATGGGATCGTGGGGAGGTTCCCTATGGGGCGTGGGTCTGTCAGTCCCTCCCCCAGGCAGGTGGTGCGAGATCTGGGGGAGGGTCCCTTATAGGAGGGTGCTGGATCCTGGCGGCTTCCCTAAAGGGAGTGTGCGGGCAGGGGGGAGTATGGGGTTCTGTCGAGCCCTCCCCAGGATGTGTGTGGAACCCTGGGGGATTCCCTGTGGAGGGGTGCAGGGAGGGTGTCACTGGGTGGAGTGTGTATTGGTGTCCATTGGTCCCTTCCTAGGGCAGGGGGTGCTGGAGCTGGGGGGGTTCCCAATGGGAGTGTGGCAGGGGTCTGTTGGTCCTTCCCAAGAGTGAGGGGATGCAGGGTTGGCCTGTCAGTCCCTCCCCGGGATGGTCGGGGTCCATGGGGGTTCCCTATGAAGTATGGGGGAGTCTGCAGGAGTGCAGGATCTGGGGGGGTTCCTATGGGCATGCGAGAGGGGGGAGATAATCTCTGAGAGTGAGGGGTGGGAGGGGGCAGGATCTGGGGAGGGGATCTGTTGGTCCCTTCCCAGGCAGGGCTACAGGATCTAGGGAGGTCCCTATGGGGTGCAGGGGGTTCCTGGAGGGTGAAGGGGAGGTCTGTTGGTCCCTCCTTGGGGCAGGGGGGATGGGATATGGGGGGGTGGTTGGTCCCCATGCAAGTACAGGGGTGTCTGTGAGGCTGTGGAGGGGGTCTGTCAATCGGTAAATCTGAAAGTTAGACCTATACCCACTATTAATAATATTAAGCCCCCACCTACACCTCCCAAAGATAGAAGTCAAACTATGCCTATGTCTAAAGCCCATCCTTTTTGCTATACTTTAACTTCACACAGCCTCCCACAGGAGATGAAAGTTGGACCAGTGTTCACAGCACTGAAAACTATTAGAGGATTATCCAGGCTGTCTCTCTCTCACACACACACTCATCTAAAAATGCATCATTACTTTAACAATTTAAAACTTTGGCTCCCAGCACATCCTCATAAAGAGGTAACAAACTTTGTATTTATTTTGTATCCTGAATCTGTATGCTGATAGAGATACTGATAATTTTATAGAGGAAATGCCTATGCCCAGTAACTCATTTAGTCTTCTCTCTTATTTCAGATTTCCTTGCAGTGTCTACCAGCCTACCCACACTTAGCTATGAAAAGAGATGAACTAAACATACCCACAAACTTTTAAATACTTACTGAAAAGAGGCAAAAGAAAAATTCCTACCTGTGTTGAGCTCGGTTCAAGAGGAAACTATCTAATACAGAATGTCTTTGTTCTTCAGCTTGTCACCAGCTCCACCCACAATACATGACAGAAAACAGGAGAAATGAAAGTAACTCAAAAGCTTACCACTGGTAGCAGCACTGTGAATTGAGTTTGCAATGCAATACATTTTCTTTCTTTTACACTTTTGTCACTCACTCCATCCACATTCTCAGGCAGTAACCAGGGGAAATGAAACTAACTGGAAAGAGTATCCTTAGCATCACTGTAAATTAGTTTCACAATGGAATTCATGTTTCTAGAATCAGTGTTGCATTTACTCTCACATGTTGTATTTATATAGGGCAGGGGTGGCCAACCTGAGCCTGAGAAGGAGCCAGAATTTACCAATGTACATTGCCAAAGAGCCACAGTAATACGTCAGCAGCCCCCATCTGCTCCCCAGCCCCAGGTGCCTCCCGCCTGCCGGCAGTCCCCGCCAATCAGCACCTAATCAGTCTTAATGCCCCCCCGCACATTCAAAAACCAATTTCCTCAACAATCCCAGTCAATCTCCCCAAACACACAAACTTGAGCCTACTCCCCTCAATCCATTGTCTCTTCAGCCTCCAGCCTCTTTTGTCCTGGTCGTCTCCTCTCCATGCAGCATCCCTAGCTCCAGGTTCCTTCTCTACTTCCCCTTACTCCCATCCAGGCTCCCTGGCCTCTTTTCTCTTCTTTCCACACTCCCCCCAGTTCTCCACCCAAATTCCTTTTTTTCCGCCGGGCTAATCTCCCATTGAGGGTCCCCAGCACCAAGGTCCCCAATTCATTCCCCCTCTCAGATGCAAAAGTATCATTATTATTAGGGCTGTGTGGGAAATGTTTTTTCCCTTCCCATGAACATTTCAAGATATTGAAAAATTGTCCCATCCTGAATCCGGATGTGTAGGGTTCCTCGGGTCTCCTTGGAGGAGCCCCCTTCAGTGGCAATGGGGAATTGGTGCTCGCATTAAATGGGGTGATCAGTTATTATGGTTTGCAGCTGAGCCATGGGGCAAGTGGCAGTTCTGGCCTCCTGGATGGGGGATAGGCTAGGCTAGTAAGAAGTCTGTGGCTCAGGGCTCCTGCCCAAGGGCTAAACTGACAAATAGTCAATAGCTCAGGCCTTCTGCAATGCGCTCTCTGTGGGATATTTAACTAGTATTTTAATTCCTCTGCACAGAGGCGAAGCGGCGGGGGGGCGGCGGGTACATAGGGTCACATGCCCCCAGACTTCTGTTTCTATTTGCCAGCCCCGCTCGGTCACATGGTGCGGCTGGGCCTCCTCCTGGCGCAGCAGCTGCTGGAGCTGGTGAGCTGGGAACTGCACCCAACAGGGAGAGGCAGGAGCAACAGCTGGGAGCTGCAAGGAGGGAAGACTGAGGGTAATGGGGAAGAGCTGCTTGCGGGGGGGACGGGGACATTTAAATTGTGGCCCTCCCTCACTATTGGCAGGTACAGGTTGTCTCTGCCTCTGCTACTTTGGCCTTGTAGAAGTTGGGAGGGCGAAGGTTCTGGCGCCCTTGTCATAAGGTCTTAGATCGTCACACGAAGAGGAATCCCATTCTGCTTCCTGTGTCAGGAAGCCCATCAGATGCGGGGGTGGGCTCTGTCCCCCAGGATGTTCCAAGGTGTCGCTCACATAGTGGCGAGGGAGAGCAGTTCAGCTGCTGAGCCATCTCCCTCCGTAATGAAGAGCCCTGGCTTCATCCATGGTAGATCTTTTCCAAAAGAGCTGAGGAACTCAGGTGAGAGCTTGACCCTCCCAAGAATGAGGGACATTAATATGGGACAGCACTTACAGGGACATTCCTGCCCCTTCCCCATATGTGTGCAATTATGCCCCCTGCCATATGTATCCCCAGTCTCTCCCACTGTCACACCCCCCACCCACACACACACAGTGTGGGAGAAGACAGAAGCCATCCATGCCCCCCACATCCATGAAACCCTTAGTAATGTTCTCCACGTAGGCCTTTTGACTCCCCATCAGCAGAGGGGAGACATGGAGCTGAAGCTGTCTGAGACACTGTCACCAGCTCTATTCCAGTGGCTCCATCCTTGTCTGGTGAGCCTTCTGCAGATCAGCAACAGGGATTCCCACTCTGCCAAACCTGACGTGATTCATCATCACAACAGGAAGGCAGCAGGGAGGCTGATGATGTCCCTTGGAGCCGGAATGCTTATGAGGGGAGCCAGAGATGTATCCCCAAACTTCTCTATAATTGCAATCTTCCCAGCTGCCTGCGTTTGATCTCATTCTCCCTGCCACACACCCCTCCTCTCTCTCCTCCAATTGGGAGGATTCAGTCAAGTCTTTGGCTGGGGAAAAAAAATCTGTTTCTCCAGTGAGTGGGTTTGGGATCAAGTTACACTTTGGGCTCTATCTCTGCGGTGAAAAAGGCAAGAGAACTACTTTTTGTTTAAAGGAAGTGTATTGTTCCTACTGTGCCTGACAAGCTGTCCTAAGCATACCAGATATGAAGAACCACAGTATCCTCCCAAGCTGTATGGCCCAGTAGCTAGGAAACCAGAGTGGGACACAAAAGAGCTAAGTTCTAGTCCCAGCTCTGCCAATAAGCTTGTGTGACCTTAGGCAAGTCACTTCACTGCCTTGTGTCTTCCAACTCCCCCCATCTTTGCTGTCTTCTCCAGTTCAATTGTAAGCTCTTTGGAGCAAGAACTGTCTCTCATTATTTGTTTGCACAGTGTGTAGCACAATGGGGGCCTAATACCTTTCGGCACCTCTAGGTGCTACAAATAATTAATAGTAATGTTGATGATTAGCTTCATAAAACTATATTTTGGTATTGTACACCAGATAACATCTAAGGGAATCCATCCAGTGACATTAATTTTATTTCTCTGTTTTTTTTTCCACTACAAAATTGCCAAAAAAACCCCAAAACTTTAGAAACTGAAAACCCCCTCTATTGTTATGGCATTATAAATCAGCAAGCCCATGTACAAATCACTTTACATTTTCCAGAAGAATTCAGTGGCAGCCCAAGACTTAACCTATCATCAATTTGGAGGCTAAGCTGTCTTTCTCTTTTTAGTATTATTATTAAAGGGGGGGGGGGCAAACTCAGACTTCTTATGAAAACTCAGCAGCATCTTTATGTAGCAACTGGTATAGCTGCATAACAGGAGCAAACATGAGGAAAAAAGGATGTGACAGCTAGCAGTGAGTAAACAAAAATTACTCTGTGTATTGCAATTTAATGAGACGCTCCTCACACCTTCTCTTTTTCTGCTGTTGGATTGCTCCCTTTAACAGCAATTTCACAAGAATTCTCATTTGGCAGTTTATAATTTTATCCATTCTTCCCTTTTAATCACCTCAAAATGACATGGATGCAAACTTCTCTGGGGCTCATGCACATTCGGTCATTCATGGGAGTTTTTCCTCTTTGCCTACATCAGTTTCAGTTTCCGTGCTTCAGACCCAAGAACAGAAACTGAAATTTAGCAGAGTGGAAGAAAACAGAAGTAAGAAGACAGTGATGGGGGAGGTGAGAAGAGAGAACAAAGAGTGGGTGAAAGAGGGTGATAGAAAATGAGGTGGAGAGAAAGGAGGGAGACTGGAAAGAGAGGGAAATGTGATAGAGAAAGATAGGGGAAAGGGAAAAGGAAGAGGAAAAGAGGGGAAGGCAAGACTAAGAACAGGGAGGGGAAGTTATAATCCCTGAAGGAGAGAGGAAGGAAATGGAAGGGGAAGTGCTGGTATTCCCCAGTGCTAGATGGTTGGGCTTGTTGTTGTTGAAGATGAGCTCTGGGGCATTTATTCCAGTGCTCCTAGTATAGGGAGGCAGCTGCAGACATTGCGGGGGGTGCAATGTGCTGCGCTCCCAGGTTCATTGCCAAGAATAAGGTACACATCTGGCCCCCTACAAGGCCTTTCCAGCAGTGACTTTTATTGACTGTTCCAGGAGGGCCTCCCAACTCAGTAAAGAATCTGCTCTTAAGCCTACCTGCCTTTCCCAGACTTGAAGTATGAAGGGTAGTAGCTGGGCTAGGAATGGTGGGAGCCTGGTGTTGGTGTTTAGAGGGGAAGCCGAGAAGGTTGGCACATCTTGGAAGTGACTCTATAAAGGACCGTAGGAAAAGCTTCTGCTGGGAAATAGTTTCATATAAATGAAGTAGTGCACCCTTCATTTTAGAGCCTAAGGAGTAGCAGCAGGCCAGGAAGGTAGCTTGTCATTTCCTCCTGAGAACTAACATGTTCATAACTATCAGAGAGACACTTAGGCACTGATCATAAAAGAGGCAGCTGTAATTTGCATGAATGAGCCACTCCCTTTGGAATTGCTCTACAAAGACCTGAGACCCTTGATAAGGGGATTGTATATGCTTGAAAAAAATAGCATTAATGGAAACAAAGTTGGAATATCATGTTTTCAAAGGCCAGGACAAATTGAAAGCTAAAGGCTGTCACTACCTCTTTAACGTGGCTATGATCTGCATCTTTTTATATAAATACATTTTTATAAACAACAATATTTTGAAGTTAACATTTAAAAAGGAAAACAAGAATAGAAAACATACATCTGTACAAAGTAGCTGAGTTAACATTGGTGGAGCATCCTTAACTTCAGGAATTTCATAATGACCCCAGAGTGCTTGAATAGTTCAGCCTTAACATTAACTGTTTATTATTATTATTTCATTGCACTAGTATTTGAATGGGGTAAAAAGAAAACTGAGGGTTTTTGGCTTCACCAATGGAGTTTGTAGCTCCTTGGCCCTGAGTTTATGCTAAATGCTCCCTGGCTCAAACAATGGTCTCCTCTGTAGAATTTATAAACATTGCAGGATACTGGCCATAGCAACTCTGAGAGCTGTTTCTAAAAGGCCTCAATTCAGGAAAGCTCTTAAGCAAATTGTTACATTCATCTCTATTCAGGACTGCACTTAAGCCTATGCTTAAGCCCCACTGATGTCCCCACATACAAATAAGCTAAGTTTCTAGCTTCTGCCATTTTTCAGCTCAATGTAGCTAGCTGCTAAGACCAGATAGCTTAAAGTGTGTTTTCCTAGTACTCAAAATTCAAAAACAATTCAGCTGATTCTACTAACATTTGTCTAAAAGGGGAAATGTTGGACTTACCCCTCAGTTTTTCTTCTCTGATAAAGGCATGAGTCCTTTCCTTGCAGTCTCTGGAGGCAGAGTTCTTAAGTGTTACTCCTGTAATTCGGCACCAAAAAATTTAAAATTCTGTGCACAATATTTTAAAATTCTGTATGTTTTATTTGTCAAAATAACACAATATAATCATGCCACTTTCAATTATTTTGGTAATTTATTTCAAAATGCCTGTCAGCAAATATGTCTGTAACAATACAGACAACAAA